TTGTATACAGACACACGCACACACACACAAACACACACACATATATACATTGTGTGTGTTTTGTGTGGGGGGGGGGGGGTTGTGTGTGAATGTATGTGTGCGTGTCTGTATACAAATGCAATATTATCATAGACGGTTGATATTTGCGCATTTTGAATAGCATTCTTAAAAAAATAATATAATAAAAATAAAAAAATAATAAAATAAAAAAATCAAGCACATTATCTACCAATTTCTAGCAAAAATGTGGTGTTTATCTCTATGTCCCCTTGGGCAAAGAGGCATAGGGCGTCGACATTTGGGTGCCATTGACGATATGTCCTTTTAGGGGCATCCCTTTGTTTTTATGTTTGATAAGGAAAATATAATTATTTACTTTTTTCAATCGAAACAATGTATTTATATACATATATGTATATATCTTTGTATATATCTTTGTTTTATCCGTCGGATATTATTGGTATTTGAAATCATTCACGATTATATACAAAATTAATTTCATTTACTTGCTTTCACAAGTAAATTTCCAATCAAAATAGAAATGAAAAATCATAGTTATGCTCTTAACCGATATAACCTATATCATTTTTTTTATTTATTTATTTTTATTTTATTTTTTTTTATCAGGCACCATTTGAGGACCCCCCTCAATCGTTCTCCCCACTTACTTACGTCAGAGATTTATTCTTTCAGAAAGTAATGATCAGGTGTCTTTATTTCCGGATGGATCCAGCACTCCAGCGTTGCGTTATCGCATTGGGCGTATTGTGCAATGCATTTCAATATAGTGCTAGCCGGTACAAAGAAAGAAAAGACCCCCCCTAAAAAAAAAAAAAAAAAAAAATCAGCTAATCATTTCCTGTGGGATGCTCAACGCGTATAAAAGTCGTGAACATCACTGCAGACAACAGCAGTTTCCTCTTTGCCGTGGGAGTGACAGCATCATTAGTAGTGTTAATTCATTGCTTCTTGCATCCCGAAACAACATGACTCTGAAGGCAAGGTTTTTGTGTACATGTATGCGTATATATGTATTTATATATATAAATACATAGATTTACTCTCACTCATATATACAAACATACATATAATACACACACATATATATGTATATATACATATATATAAATAAAAATATAACATAGATGCATATACATGTGTGTATGTGATATACATATACATACATATTGAAACACATGTTCATACGCGTTTCTTTCATCACACAAGAGCACACACAGGTACACACATTCACACACAAATACGAATAAATAAAGGCATTAAACGTGTTTCTTGTTATGTATGCATATCTGCATGAAAGAAGACCGTTTATACAGGTCTCATATACGTGTGCCTCAGGAATCTAGCAGAATTCCCTAAATTACTTTGTTACATCTAACATCACAGCCTTCTCCCACCAGGTTATCGCCCTGGCTTCCTTGCTGGCAGTCGCAAGTGCAAAGCCAGGCCTTTCTCAGAGCTATCAGGCTCCAGGATCTTCCTTCGGTGGTTCTGCAGGAGCTGCCAGTTTCCTCCGACCTGCCGCAGGACCTGCCATCAACTTCGGAGGAGCTGCTTCTGCTGGAGGCTACAGCCCTCCTGTCGCTCCTGTAGTAAGTTGCAATAAAAGTGATAATAACAGCAACAATATTGATAATAGTAATAATGATAAAAATAATAGGAATTATACTGACAATAATGATAATTAAACTAAGAATAGCCTACACACTACAAATTAACCCTTTTTGTCTATATAGACTCGCCCGCAGTAAATAACGTTTGAACAAATATTAATGATAGCCTACAAGTTACTATAAATTTTTCTTACACCCATATAGACTCGTCCTCAGTATAACTTCAACTATGACGTCAACGCCTTCGGTAACGATTTCGGCCACCAAGAGGGCCGCGACGGATACAACACTCAGGGATCCTACTACGTGCAGCTTCCCGACGGTCGTCTGCAGAGGGTCACCTACACTGTCAACGGCGACCAAGGATACGTGGCTCAGGTGACGTACGAGGGAGTGGCTCAGTACCCTGCCTTCCAGCCGTCTGCCTCCTACTCGCCCTCACCTTCGTATGGTTAGGGTTTGCAAGCCAAGTAACATAATGTACCGAATGTTATGTATCCATCCGTTCGTTTTTTTGTTTTTTTTCTTCTGATAAATATCAGCCTGACAAAATAAAACTACTTCACTTCCAAACATTTATCCAACCCCCTTTGTAGTTTTTAGGAAAAAAATCATGATATCTATCTATTTAATACTCAGATAAAACAAAGATCTGTTTAAAGAGAAGTATCATACTTATTACATTTATCTCACAATACTGACCCTAATTATAAATCGTTGATTAAATCAGTAAAAGGCATGAGTTTGCATTTATATGTGTACGTATAAAATACTGGGAAATGCAATGGCATAGTGATAACAGTGTCACCAATGATGTTAAATTAGCAACAATACTCTGGAAAACATCAACTGAAACGATAATAACAATT